TATCCTGGGGTGGTAGGTAGGGGTTTAGTTCTCATGCTGGGCAGATTCCAGCGGACACGGATGCCAGGTGACCGTGGCTTCAGGAATTGGGAAGGGACCTGCCCTGTGCCAAGCAGGAATTTAATCAGCTTTCCTTTCCTCCCTCTGCTCTTTCTGGCTCTGTACGGCCTGCATAGTTGCAGCCATGCACTACTACTCTTGCTTTAATGAGTTCCTTCCTTGCCTGCACTCATCAGACATGTTTGGGAATTTTTTCCCAGAGTCAAGAACCCTCCACCATCCAGGTTGAGGTTTCACCTAGAGCAGAGCGAGCGACCTCCACAGACGCAGCTGCCTGACAACAGTACTATTCTAGGGAAGGGCAGAAAAATTTCCCCTTTCCTGCTGGTGTCATCTTCTGGGTATGCCCATTGCCTGTCCTCTTTCTTCTGGTTCTGTCTGGCAAATCCCTGTTCTGCATCATTTTTGTCCAATGAAGCTTCACTCCTGGCCTCCTCTGGCCACCCCTGCAACAAATGGCTAATGGTTTCCTGTTTACAGGAATGGAGGGCTACTGTCTCAGTGGGACAAGGATTTGTTGTTTCCCTTTTATTTTTAATATGTTGCTCGATGTCCTTCAATTTGAAGATGCTTCTGTGATGTTGCAGAGATAACATTTGCCTGCTGATCTCAGTCAGAAGGTTGTCACAGAAGCAGCATTCCTCAGTACGTGAAGCATTTGCTCCCAACACTTCCCAGGAGTTATGATGTCCTTCTGTTATATAGGCACCTTGTAATGTATCTAGATTAAGGGCTTAGAGGAAGAGTTTTGCGGCAGTGGAGAAAATTCTGTCTTAAGATGACAACCATATATGGGAATAAAATCAGCTCCTGAGGCTTCATTAGACTTGAGCTCTAACCCAATGATACAAGGTAGAAATAACAATATTAAATCAACCATTCAAATGAGGAGATGTGCATCATTTCCAAGTCCAGTAAGTGTGACCTTCAGCACTTATTTATTACACATTGGCTGACTATACTGAGTAGAAAAAATGCATTCATAAAGTTTATTAGATAATTCTGGGGAGGGGTGAGATTTTTCAAGATGAACTGTGTATATTTCTGTGCCAATAACCACAGATCTCACTGTGTGATTCTTACCCAGCCCACATCAAATGCTCTGTTCTGTTCTAGGGACCCTCTTCCTTTAACAGAATTTTTACTTTGCTAGGGCACCCATTGGATCGACACTGTGAATTTATAAGGTTTCGATGTTATTTCTTCCTCCACACAGACATCAGAGGCAAACACCCTCTCCATCTCTGACTCAGGCCTTATCTGATAAGCAAGCACCATAGAGCTGGGTGAGCAGAAATCTCAGACAAGGACCTGAGTCATCTTAGATGAGGGCCTCAGTGGGGGCAGAGTTCTGGGCCCCATGCTTTTCTTCCATAGCTGTGCTGACAGTATCCTCAAAGAATCCTTGGCCTCAGAACTCCTCCACTGGTCTCTCAATTCCAGAGCTTGGAATTATTTATTTTATATATAACCAATCCTGGTTTTTTTTTTTAGTATTACCCAGATAATATATGTTCCTTGTCGAATAGAAAATTAAAGTCAAAAGCATGAAGTTAATCAGAAATCCAACCTCTTTAGGTTGTTAACATCTTGTTGATTTTTCTGGACTCTTCAGTATGCACTCTGCATACATTGTATGTGTGCATGTCCACACACATTTTAAATGTCTGCTGTACTTGTTTGAGAATTTTTTTGTTAGTTCCTTATTATAGACTTTTAAATATAATCACATGTTCTTCTATGTCATTATAATGGATGCATAATTTATTATATAGAAAGGTTTGATTAAACCACTCCATGTGGGTTATTTAGAGTTTCCGGTTTTTCACAAATTAAAAAAAAAAGACCATTTCTCACAGTAAAATTTTTGTAAGGAATTTCTCAGTGTTTATCTTTAGGAACATTTGTCTGGGTCAAAGCCTAGGGTGTCTTAGTCCAGCTGGGCTGCTCTAACAAGTACAATAGTCTGGGTGGCTTATAAACAACAGAAATTTATTCCTCGCAGTCCTGGTGGCCAGTCTGAGGTCGGTGTGCCGGCACGGCTGGGCTCTGGTGAGCCTTCTGTGAGGTGCAGACTGCCGGCTGTCACTGCCTCCTCACGTGGCAGAGAGCAGTAAGCTCTCTTGTGGCTCTTCTAAGGGCACCGACCCCATTCATGAGGCTCTGTCCCCACGACCTCAGCTAATTGCCTTCCAGAGACCTCACCTTCTAACATAACATTGTGCAGTAGGGTTTCAACATATGAATTTTGCTGGACACAAACATTCCATCCATAATACTAGGTAATCTATGACAGTAGATGCATAGAATCACAGATTCTTTTCAAGAGGAAAGTTAGTGATTCTGTTAGCTGAGATATGAATAATATTAATAAAACCTAATTCATCTTTTTTTTCTTTTTGTCTGCCCTGACAATCTATTAATGCTTGAGCAGCTCCAGGGATGGGCGCTCAATATGTTTATATAGATCCTTATAATCCACAAGGTTCCATACACATTATCTTATTTTAGCCCCAGAAGAACCTGTGGAGTAGACTGATATTTTTATGACCATGTTTTTTATAGATGAGAAGGCTGAACTCAGAGAGGATAAATGAGTCCTCTAATTTATGCTTCTGGGAAATGGTGGAGTCTTGGCCTCTCAATTAAGATGTGTGGGTCTATGTGTCGGGTGGGAGTAGAGGTCTTTTCTCAAAGCATTTTGCACTAATTCTCACTCCCTGTTCTAACTTTTCACTTCTGTCTAGATGGAGCAAATCTATTCTTCTGTTCACCACAAGTCCTCCCTGACTGTCATTGAGGAAGTACGGTAAGTCTTGAGCTGGGGCAGGGGGTGTAGGAATGGAGGCCGTGGGTCTAAGCGCCTGAGGAAGCGACCTTGAGTGAGGAGCCTGGCTGGCACCTGAGTGGGACGTGGCGTTGTGCTCCCAGGGAGGGAGAAATGGCAGTGAGGGTGAAGGGCCTCCCAGGGGATACCTGGCCCTGCCAATGGCCTCGTTGGCTGGTGCCATACCTGCTTCTAACTTTGGGCCAGACACAGATCACTGCGGTCAAACATGCTCCCATTTCATCACACTGTATTCTTACCATTCGAGCATCAGCCCAACAAAGATTGCTATGGAGAGAAGTCAGTTCAGATGTGTTTGTTGCTTCCCTTTTATTTTTAATATGTTGCTTGATGTCCCTCGATTTGAAGATGCTTCTGTGATGTCGCAGAGATAACATTTTCCTGCTGATCTCAGCCAGAAGGCTATCACAGAAGCAGCATTCCTCAGGACGCGAAGTGTTTGCCCCTAAGAGCACGCTGTGTGGAGGGCAAAGCAGTGAGCGACCAGGTTCCAGGGAAATGCAGGGCTTCGTGCTGGGCAGACGCTCTCTTGCAGAAGTCAGCTCATTGTCTAATCTGCCTGGCAACAGGCTTGCTTGTGCAGCTCTTTAAACCAATGTTTTTTTCTTGCTGTGAATTCGAGTTTGAGGGTTTTCTTAGAAGATTCTAAATACAATTCTGGCTGCTTTTAATATCTACCAAGATTTGGTCATCTTAAATCAATGAGCAATTCAAAAGTTTGCATTAATTGTTTTGAGAGAGCCAGATTAACTGTGAATTATCTCTCAAATTGGCATGTTGGGTAATTATTTTCATATTTTGGTGCAAAGCCTTACCAAACAGTGTTGCAGTTAGAGTATTTAAAAACTACCTTTCCCACCTGGGTAGGATTTAAGCAAAGCCCAGGCAATTTGGGGCTATTTTTGGTCCTGATTAATTATTAGGCCAAGATAATTCCAAGTTCAGCAGCTTATTTGGAGGAGACTTGACAGCTGGGCTCTCAGGATAACCTTGGGTCAAAGCCGACATCTTTAGAACAAAATGGTGCTCTCCCCACCTCCAGAGAGCAGGCACGGGTAGCACTTTGTGACAGTGGTGTCAGCTTTGCCAGCCTGGAGCTAGTGAGGGGAGGAGAAATCTCTGTTTCAGGGGCCTGCAGACATGGCTGATCTCACTGCAGTGAAAATAGGTCACTAATGACACCTGGCGATAAGCCAAAAAACTGTAGCCAAGAGCTCTGAACCATTTGCTGCTAGCAGGATCCATTTTACTAGAACTCCAGAAAGAAAGCAACCTGCTTGCATTTGTTTATAACCACCACAGGGTTGAAGAACTCACATGGCCAAATGGTGAACTGGCTCCTCCTTGCCTTTATTTTCCTAAGCATTCAAGTTGTTTATGGTTTCAGCTTATTCCATTTCCATTCTCACACCCTGAAGTAATACCTGGGTCCCTGCTTCCTTTCTGAACAGTCAAGCTGATATGATTTTCTCTCTCTCTCCCCACTGAAGCAGCAAGGGGCAGAATGGAGACAAGGATAACATTACCTTCTCTTATTCCTTATATGTTGACACTGAAATAGCTCTGTCCAGATACTATTCCCCACCACCCTGATCCTCATGAAGCCACCCATCTCTGTGATTCTAGGGAGAAATGTCTGCTATTGCCATTAGTGACAAAAGAGCATTTTACTTCATTTTGGACAGTATCTCCCTGGGTTGGTGTTTCCTGTTACTCCAAGTAGCTCCCTGAGAAGGGGAATTGTGAAAGGAAGACTGAGGATGGCTGGTAGGTCTTCCACACATGCTGGGAGTGATTCAGTGTAGAGCTCAGATCAGAAATTCCCAAATAAAAATAAATTTCATCATCTTTTGCAGGGCCTGTAAAAACCCAGATTGCTGGGCTCCTGAGCTCTGGCTCAGTACATCTGGAAGAGGGGCCCGATACTGTGCATTTCTAAGCAATTCCCAGGTGACCACATCTCAAGGAGCCCGGGCTTAGGCAAGTCAACAGTGGCCTCAAACACTGCCCCACATAGGTGATTTCCATGGCCTAGGGCTTCTTCCACTCAACTGTGAGCAGTTTAAGGGTAGGGACCATGTCTCTCATTCATCTTTGAGTTTAGAGACTCCAGAACAGTGTCTAACATAGAGAAAGTACTCAAATCGTTGTTGAATTAATTAGTGACTGAATCCTATCAGCTGATCTTAAAACAGAAGGTTTCCTGAAAGCCTGGATTAACCTTAAATGGGATATTGGACCCATTGAATGTAAATGATTAAGTCACCAAAATTAATATTAAGGCCACAACAGAGTAAGGAAAAACTGGACAATGTTTTTCCCAGGACTGCCCAGGTTGAACAAGAAGAGCCGGGTTTTAGGAAGAGGCTGGGCAGAGGAAACCTGGGTCCATCACGTTTGACAAGGTGCTTTACCTGTAACTTGCAGTAAGGGACAGAAACTTTTCACAAATACCAATCAGGTGACCTGGCAGCTCCCCTCTGGAGCTACCCTCCTCCTATGCACTGAATCTCATGGAAGGTAGGAAATGGTTCTTATATCAGAGAAGGGTTTTCAGCACGGTTCGTATTCTTAGGGACTGCTGCACATGCTGGGAACAGGTGTGTAATCCCTGGAGATCAGCTCCCAGGACTCTTCAAATCTGTCTGTCTGTCCGTTTAGATGGGAACAAACGGGAAAATGGAGTTTGAGACTGGTTTGGTCAGAACCTTCCATCCCCCCAAGACCTTACTCTAGCTGCCCCAGCTTGTCCTCTCCTCATATCCTACCTCGCATTTTGCACTCTATCTAAACACCATTGTGATGGAGGTTTTCTAGCATAGAGCATACTGCCCTTCTGCTTCTACCCTCCAATGAGCCCAAGTCTGGATGATGTGGGCTTCTCACATAGGACTGCACTTAGCAGCCACCTCTTTCAGGAAGTCTCATTTGGTTTATTTCCTCTGTGTTCTCATAGTTCCCTGTGAATACCTTGATCACTCATTCACTTATTCATCCAACAATTATCTATTGAGTTCCTGTCATGTGCTAGACATTGAAGATACAAAGATGGATGTGACATGGCTCTTGTCCCTAACTAGCTCATTACCTAGTGAAGGCGTACAGATATGTAAACAAGTAGCTGTAATACAAAGTGCAAAGTCCTAAGATAGCAGTAAGCCCTGGGTGCTATGTTAGTGCATAGAAAGAACACCTAACCCCGATATGAAGTGTCAGGAGGTGGTGGGGGTAGTTTCTAGAGTAAATATATCCTACTCAGGATCTAAAGGATTGAAAAGCATTTAGCCAGGCAAAGAGGTGGGAGAAAAGCACATCAGGGAGAGGAAACGGATTTGCAAAGGCCATTATCTGTTTATATGATTGGCTTTAGATTATAGATTTTGGGGGCTGAGGGTATGTTTTATTCATTGTCTATCTGTCTAGACCCAATTCAAAGCATAGTACCTGGTACACAGTAGACATCCAAGGAAATGTTTATTGAATAAATGAATGAATAAGTGATTTAAAAATAGACACATAGATCAATGAAACAGAATAGAGTGTAGAAATAAACCCTTTTCATATGGTGAATTAATCTGTGACAAAGAGCCTAGAATATACAATGGGGAAAGGATAATCTCTTCAATAAATGGTGCTGGGAAAACTGGACAGCTACATGCAAAAGAATGAAACTAGACTACTACTGTCTTACATCATGCACAAAAATAAACTTCCAATGGATTAAAAATCTAAATGTAAGAACTGAAACTAAAAGAAAACATAAGCAGTAAACTCTTGAACATTGACAATAACAATTTTTTTCTTCAGGTTTTGTCTCCATAGACAAGGGAAACAAGAGAAAAAATAAACAAGTGGGACTACAACAAACTAAAAAGCTTCTGCACAGCAAAGGAAACCATCAGCAAAATGAAAAAGGCAACTACTGAATGGGAGAATATATTTGTAAATGATATATCTGACAAGGGATTGATCTCCAAAAATACATAAAGAACTCATACAACTCAACATTGAAACAAAATCTGATTTAAAAATAGGCATTTTTCCAAAGATGACCTACAAATGGCCCACAGGCACATGAAGAGATGCTCATCAACATTAATCAGGGAAACACAAATCAAAATCACAATGAGATATCACCTCACATCAGTTTCATTACTTTAGTTTGTAATTGGTTTTCTATTAACAAGAAAAGATAAATGTTTCAATTGCTCAGATTTGTCTCAAAACAAGCTTTTAAATAAACATCAACAAGATAATAAAATTATTCTTTTCGTAGATCCCATCATGATTATAGTAATATGGCAACATAAGAGAAAATAACTATTTTATACTTGGGACATGGAAATAGGAGCTCTAGAAATATCTTCAAAATAAATTGAGTCTACACATTTTAGAGATAAACCTAATTTTCTATGTCTTAATGAATAAATGGAATACACTATTAAACATCACAATAGACTTTTTTTTTCCAAGGTACCCACCAAATTTTGCTTGCTCTTCTCCAGCCTTTTCAACTTCTAAAGCTAGCTCTACCTCTTGAGCTTTCATCTAAACAACTAAAAAAGAGGGTTATATCAATATGCCTTGACACTAGAAGATAAGCAATGAAAATAAGTATTTTTTCATTTGCTATCCCAATACTTACCGACTGCAAAGCCTGGCACACGTGAAGACTTCTAGTAAATATTTGTTGAATTAACAGACAATTTTCTTAAGGATATAATTTCTAGATTCCTAACAGTTTGAAACATCTTTGATTCCTCTTTATGCCTCAAATCTTATCTTTAGTATTGCAACTTTTCCACTTTTTTCTGTTCTGTCACTATTATAGTCTATAATTTTATGTCTAACCTCCTTCATAACATTATATTGCAATAGCTTCAAGTCCCTTCAGTTTGTCCTGTTAACACACCTAGTTTTATCTACTTAAGGTATATTTTTGTTATATATCAACTATTGCTCAGAAAACTTCAGTGGCTCCTTATTGCTGACACCCTGAGATACACCTTTAAAGCCCTTGAAAGGTTATTATTCTGTTTCCCCTACATATTCTTTAAAGAACTTTAGAGCAGAAACTAGCAATGTTCTGCACACTACAACTCATGATCCATGTGTGAAGATATCTTATTTTTGAGTGGTGCTTTAGACATTACAGAGTACTTTAATGAAACTTCCTCTAATAGTCAAAGCTATTGTTAAAACCTACTGCATACAAACCTTCATTAGTGACTAATTCTGAAAACGTGTATCACATTTTCTTGACTTTCATTTTTTAGCTCATTTACTTCCACCTAAGTAAACAGAAAAGCAACCATTTTACATTTTATAAATAACACCTGAGCAAAATATAAAAACTCTTATAGCTGTATCATTCAGTGATTTCAGGGACAAGATTAATCATAGTTGTATATATATATATCTATGCATTATTTATTAATTAATTACCTTAGATAAGGAAATCAGTAAATTATCTGCCAATTCTTCTTGATGAGGAAGGTCATCTGGGTCAACTTTCGTGATTTCTTTCCAGTTTATATTAGGGGCCATCTTGAATTATTTCACTATGCTTTACCTTCTGTAACAAAACAGGTAGGTGTTAGCATTTTTAAAGGTAAAAACATTACTGTTTTTACAGCACTCTGCAGTTTTTACATATTACATCTATGGTGTTAGCGAAGAGCTATGGCTCCTTAACCGCATAGCAGGTAAGTGGACAAAATAATCGTCATCAAAATTACAGCAATTAGCACAAACCATCAGATACTGTACTGGCTAAATAAACAATGACGGATTCCTTTCTAAAACTAATCTAGGTCAGAACTAAGGTTGAGTCCCCTCCTCCACGTCCCCATACCGACGCGTGCGAACATCTAAGGAATCCACCTACCTACACCAAGTCTGGCAACCAGCAGCGGTGTCTCATTTACTGCAACCCCCGAGCCTGGCCCCGCCGCCCAGCCTGACCGCTCCCTAGCGCGGTGACAGCAGAACCCTAGATCCCGCCACCTGGTCCGGAGCGAAAGATAGCAGCGAAGGCTGCTAGGCGACCCCATTTCCCACCCCGCCAAGGCCGGGAAAAGGCCCCGGATGCAAGATGAGCCTACATTTCACGGCGGTGGATAATGCTTTACGTTTAGACTCCCCTGCGGGGGTCCCTGTACTCTGTGGCAAAGACTGTAGAAGGCGCGGGATGAGGGCTCCAAATCCCCGAGTGCACTTCTCCCTGGCGGCTTGTGCATGCTGGGAGCTGAAGTCTCTGGGAAGAAGAGGGAGGCCGTCCCGGCGTGCAGTGCGGCGGGCTGCGCCTGTACCGGGGCGCTGGGGGAAGGAGCTGGAGGCGGGAGGCGCAGGGCTCAGGCGCGTCTCCGCTGGTGACCTGAGTACAGTAGAGGATGACTGCGACTCCCAAGGCGCCGCCCGCCGGACCGCTCTTCCTGAGGTTTCCCTCAGCCATCTCCTAGGATACAACTCCCAGGTGAGGTGGGACTGCTGGTCAGCGGCGGGGGTGGAGTTGAGGGAAGCGGTCCTGGCTTCGAGAAGCTCGGACCGTGTGGGCGGAAGGACTCGGTCCCGGTGTAGAGGTGGGAAAAGCCCGTCTTCTCCTTAGACGTTTGCAAGTGGTACTCCAGGGGGTCCCCTCTGTAAGGTGGTGGTGGGGGGGGGAGTTTTAGCCTTTTTTTTGCTGTCAGAATCCACTCCATAAGTGGAGTGGGGGCCTCGCAGCCGAGATCGTGGTTTGGGGTGAATGAAGCGTTGAGTAGAGGTCATCTCGTTCTCCGATACCGCCTGCCTTTCTTGTAGCACCATTGTCTTCGCGAACTGGAGGACTTGAAGGTTGAGGAGCTAGGATAGAGCGAAGGCTCTAGAGAGGAGTTTAGAATTTGTCCCAGCTAACTGCTGGGAGTGGAGAGACGAAGGGGCCTCACTTGTCACCAGTCCTGTGCTGTAACCTCCTTGGTTACTAAGTGTGTCCCTACATGAAAGCGCCTGCTCAGGTGTTTGCAGCTCTTCTCGTGCAAGTGTTGCTCATCCCTCTGTTCTCAGCCGTTCTGGAGTATAATATGCCACTAGGTAACTTCCTTAAGCTGTACATTTGAAATCTAAGTGACATTTTCCACTGGTTGGACAAGCGCGTCTCATCTTTACCTTTTTTTTTTTAAAGCACTCAAAAAATATAATTGACAGTAGACATTCCTTTTGAAAATAAAAAAATAGTAGATATCTCCAGACCACGTGTTTGGGCAAAACAAGAAATAGCTCAGTAGAAAATCAAAACAGTACTGATTTTGTGAGGTATATTTTAAAGACATTCATCAGATTTGAAACTATGTTAATTTTTTCTAATCCTTTACTGAGAGATTATATCCAAGTACCGTTCATTATTATTTTTTACCATGCTGTACATTACATCCCCAGGACTAGTCTTGTCTTTCTCTGACTTACTTTACTTAGCATAATCCCCTCAAGGCCCATCCATGTTGTTGCAAATGGCACAATTTCATTCTTTTTTAAGGTTGAATAATATTTCATTGTGTATATACACACATTTTCTTTATGCATTCATCTGTTGACGGATACTGAGGCTATTTCCATTTCTTGTCTGTGATAAATAATTCTGCAGTGAATACAGGATACAGATATCTCAAGGTAGTGATTTCGTTTCTTTCAGATTATGACCAGAAGTGGAATTGCTGGGTAATGTGGTAGTTACGATTTTAATTTTTTGAGAAATCTCCATAATGTTTTCCAGAGTGGCTGCACCAGTTTACATTCCTACCATCAGTGCCTGAGGGGTACCCTTTCTCCACATCCTTACCAACACTTGTTATTTCTTGTCTTTTTGATAATAGCCATTCTGACAGGTATGAGGTAAATATGTCATTATGGTTTTGATTTGCATTTCCCTGTGATTGGTGACTTTGAGCATCTTTTCAGGCGCATGTTAGCCATCTGTATGTCTTTTGAAAAATGTTCAGATCCTTGGCTCATTTTTAAATTAGATTGTTTTTTGTTACTGAGTTGTGTGAGTACTTTGTATATTTTGGGTAATAACCCCTTGTCAGAAAGATGATTTCTCAAATACATTCTCCCATTCTGTAGGTTGCTTTTTCATTTTGTTGGTGGTTTTCTTTGCTTTGCGAAGCTTTTTAGTTTGCTGTAGTCCCACTGGTTTATTTTTGCTTTTGTAGCGTTTGCTTTTGGTTTCAAACCCAAAAAATCGTAGTCAAGACAAATGTCAAGGAGCTTACCCTTGTATTTACTTGTAGGAGTTTATGGTTTCAAGTTTTATGTTCAGGTCTTTAATCCATTTTGAGTAGATTTTTATGAGTACTGTAAGATAAAGTCCCAGTTTCATTCCTTTGCGTGTGGCCCTCCAGTTTTCCATTGATCAGAAAGACTATCCTTTCTTCATAATATTTCTGGTCTTTTATTTCCAGGCTTTCTATTCTGTTCCACCCGTGTGTGTGTGTGTGTGTGTGTGTGTTTATGCCAATACCATACTGTTTTGATTACTACACTGTCATTATCCCATTAAATCTTCATAACAATCCATTGTAAAAGGTGCTTATATTGTCCTCATTTTCCAACTAAGTTAAGAAACTGAGGATTGGAGTGGGTTTATGCTGTGCTCAAACTTAAATGGTGTAATTGAACAGAGATCTTTCTGGCTGGAAGACATGTTCTTAACAGTTATGCTGTCTCCTAGGCATGCTGGGAACCCTATTTGTAAAGTGATTCTTCAGTCTTGCTATCTATAGTAAATATATTCTTATTATATAACTTTGTTTACTCAATAGTTTGAATTACATATTCCTTATTTAGCACGGGAAGGTAGGGATAAAATCTAATAAATCTTGAGCACATATAATGTCATATCCTATGTTTAAAACTGCTTATTTATTTTCATAGTAGGAATCTGTTGCAGCACCTTGTTTTTCCATTCATTATAGCTATTATTTTCCATTTATTCATTTACTAGTTTTGTTTTGTCACTATTGGTCTTTTCTACACTTGCTCCCCTCACATTTATATTCCCAGCAACTCAGGTTACCTGGTCAAATGGTAAATTTTATTCTCATTTTTCTGAAGTGAAAACAGGTTCAGAGAAACCACGTAATTTCCTAATAGTTAATGAAGGTAAGATTGTAACCCATATGTCATTACAGTCATGACTAAATGCAAAATCTTGTTAAATTTCATTCTTTTGCTCATTCTAATATTTTTGGGCTTGTATATCATGCTACACACTGGAGATAAGCAGGATACAAGTTATCTATGGTATAAGTCCTAATGTACTGTAGTGTATTTGTAGCTAACTGTGAATAAAATTTAGCTCAAGTTCAGTCACTCACTATATAATTTTGCAGAAAATTGCTTAAACTTGCCATTATTTTTTCATCAAATTTTCTGCATGAGTCAATTTTTACCAAGAGAAAGGATTTATGTGACAAGTTTATAAATGGCCTCACTACTGGAACACTTGTCTGAACTTGCATTCTTTCTTCTCTGTGGTTTTATGAGCAGTTTTATCTGACTAAAATTACTTCACAGGAGTCTTGACTTTTATAATTGCTTCATCTGTTTTCTGTACCAGTCAATCTATATTCCATTCACTTTTTTGCTGCCTTATCAAGAAAATGAATGATAACCTACTTCTTCAGCATCTAATACAAAACATGGCCATGAGAAATTTAAAATCCACTATTTGTAGTAAATGTTTCATTTTGCTGTGTTCTCAGGGAGAGAAATCAGTGTGCAGCAAGCTGTGGACATGAAAAGACTGGAAAGATGAGTTGTCCTTGTGAATGCAGACTTTGCAGATGCTGCAGGCCAAAGTTTTACAAACTTTAATAAAGTATATTAGGTTGTTTTTATTAAAATAGTTAAAATCATGAAATTTTTGAACTGAGAGGACTTAACTTTGCAAGCTAAATATTCCAGATCCATGTAGTTTTTCTACCGGTTAATTTTTCCACAATTTTACTGTTGGATTATTAGAAAAAGTGGGCACTCAGTACAATTCTGTTGAGGAATTATATTAAGTTCTGGATCTCTGTAATATAGCTCATGAGTGACTTTCAAGTGCAGTTGGATTTTTTGCACATATTTAGTGACCTTTCACTTTTTTAAGCAAACATAAATCAGTCATCCCATCTATTCAGAATATGTGTTTCCTGTAGGGAAAATGCAAGTTCCCGTGGGCAGGATCCCCACCTGACCCTAATCTACTTGCCCACTGCACACAGGTACAATGCCCACAGGCATGTGCTTGCACTTGTATTGGAAATGAGCCTTTATAAGAGCTCCACCCAGTGCTGTGTTGGGCTGGAAGAGACAGCAGCTCAGGGGAATTGCAAACTTGCCACTTGCAAACGTGATTCTAGCACTTGACCTGCCACTGTGAGAATAAAGCTTGGTATTAACCCTTCTACATCCAACATTCTGTTGTCGTCGCTCAGTCTCAGCGAATCCAGAGTGAACTTGCCCAGAGGTGAAATCCCCGTCTGGCACAATAGTTATGAATATGCTTGTATGCCTAGAAAAAGAGTTGGAAGTTTCCAGTTTTAGTCTATTCATGTGGCTATAAAGTACCCTAGATTAGGTACTTTGTAAACAATGGGAATTTATTTCTCACAGTTCTGGAGGCTAGGAAGTCCAAGATCAAGGAAAGCATCCACAGTATCTGTGTCTGGTGACAGCCCTGTTCCAGGTTCATAAAAGGTATCTTTTTGTTGTATCTTCACAAGGCAGGAGCAAGGGATCTCTCTCATGCCTCTTTTATAAGGACACTCATCCCATTGGTGAGGGTGGTGCTCTCATGACCTAATCATCTACCAAAGGCACCACCTCCAAATACTATCACATTGCGTATTAGAATTTAACGTGAATTGTGGGAGGATACAAACATCCAGTCTATCATTCCTGCAACTAACATTTAACAATGATGTGCTACATTGTACAGTAATGCCCCTGTGAATGTGCTTCCTTCTGTCTATGCCTTTATGTAACCCTCTCCCCTTTGCTGGCCTCTGCCCTTACAAGTGGCTCTTTTGGACATAACTTAGGATGACTCCAAAACTGAGCTCCTGACATGCAT